AACTCCGCCTTCTTCTCGCGCGAGGGCGGCGAGAAGCGCTTCTCGTTCTCCGGGGCCGGCGTCAAGACGCAAATGGCCACCACCACCACAACCGAGGAGGCGCAGAGGGTGGTCGTGCAGGGCGCGTGCGTGCAGCAGAAACACATCACCTCCATCACTACGACCACGACCACGGTGGTGGGCAACCACCAGGGAGAGCCTGGTTCGGACGTCGTCATTCAGGAAGTGGACGAGGACGAAGAGGAGGTGAACGGGGCGGCGGAGCCAGCTGCTGCGGGGCGGGACTTCCGCCGCCGCCGACCGCTCAGCCCCAGCATCCCGACCATCGACGAGCAGCCGGAGGGCCCCAGCCCCGCCCCCACTCTGCCGCTGGGCAGCTCCCCTCCCGGCCCCGACGCCCTGATGCTGGCCAAGCGCCTCACCATCTGGGCGTGCCCGCGGTGCACGCTCGAGAACCCTCGCTGGAGGATCACGTGCGACGCCTGCGGCCGCTGGCGACCCGCCGACGCTGCCATCCCTGAATCGGCCACCAATGCAAACTCCATATTCACATCCTTCTCCGACTCGCCCGCTTTCAATCACACCCCTGATACGAACAACTCTGATGTCGCTCCTACTTCCAATCCTTCTGTCTCTTCCAACCTCGCTCCCGCTCTCGCTTCCAGTTCCAAAACCGTCCTTACTTCAAACTCTGCCCTTGCTTCCAACCCCTCCACCTCTTCCAACCCCACTTCTGTTTCCAACCCCACTCCATCATCTAACCCTGCTCCAATTCCTATTACCGCTCCTACGTATAATTCCGTGTCCGTTTCCAATCATGTCGCCAACCCTACCCCCAGCCCAGCGGCATCGAAGGGAATCGACTGGGAGCGCGAGCTCAAGCGCTACTTCCCCGCCAACGGAAAGACTCCGGCAACTTCCAAAGCAGCTGAGACGCCCGCCCGCCCCACGACCACCGATTCCAAAGCCCCTGAAGAAGCCACGAAGGCCACAAAGCCGAAGAACGACGAAGCAGTCAAAGACTCCAAAATCGCCGCTAAACTCGCGTTGCCCTCCACGTTCATTGGCGGACGCACCAAAGCGGACGAGAAGCGGCAAGGTGCGTCACCCTCCCTCGCGCCCGCGCCGAAGACCGGCAACGCTGCCACAACCGCGTCTGGGCCCGCGCCGGCGGCCTCCTCTGCGTCCACGCCCGCTGCAACCGAGGCCCCGGACGTGGACGAAGTACGCAAGGCGCGCTTGGCCTTCTTCAGCCGGGATCAGCCCGAAGGCAAGACCAAGGGCAAAGAGGCCGTGTACGCGGGGCTCAAGCTGCCAAAGGACGAGAAGGAGAAGAAGAAGCTCAAGGAGATGTTGAAGGAGATGAAGGACTCGCTGCCGAGGCGTGACTCCAAAGGCGCGGTCGCAGGCGGGAGCTCCGCCTTGGAGCCACAAGCGCACCGGGGGGCAGTACCCAAGGTGTTGGACGCCAAGGCCGCAGGCGTGTCCTCCAACGCCAAGGCGCCCAAGGTGTCTACGTCGTGCCAGACGGCGTCCGTGGTGCGGAAGGTTCAGGCGGCGGGGAAGGGGGCGAGCGCGGTGCCCGTGACGGTAGAGGAGTTGTGGGGCGCGGGGGCGGGGACGAGCGCGAAGGCGGGCGCGGAGGGCGGGCTGCTGTACACGTCGGTGGGCAAGCCATCAGCGCCGCCGTGTCCCGGCGGCGGCGCCGCCCCCGTCCCGCCCTCGCGCACTTTCGAACTCATTCGCGCGCGCGACTTCGCCACCATCGAGGCCACCAAGACGGCGGGCATCGCCGCGGGCGCACACGTGTACGCGAACGTGCCCACGGCGGCGTCGCCGCCGCCACCGCCGCAGCCCGCCAGACGCCGCGCGCACCGAGGGGTGAGTGCGCTCCCCCCTCCGTCTCCCCACCCCCCTGCGTGTCGCCCGCTTGCTCACGCGTCTCCCTATCTTGCGTCCTTTGCTCCGTTGCGTTTGCAGAACGAGTCCTTGGCGTCCACGTCCGCTGGCTCCGACGCCGCCACCGCCACCTCCTCGTCGGCGGCCGCGTCTCCGCCGCCGGACGACGACCCCGGGGCCGACGCCGAGGCGGAGGCGGAAGCGGAGCTGGAGGCCGAGGTGGAGCCCGAGGGCAGCGCGTGCTCCACCAGCGACAACAGCGAGGTGGAGCGGCTGACGGCGCAGTTGACGCTGCCCAAGGGACTGGCCGCGTTCAAGGCCGACCTGCAGGCCGAGGCGCGGGCGGAGGGCGAGGCCGGCCGCCACCGCGTCAACACGCTCGCCGTCAACCGCCTGCTGCGGCGCCTCGAGGCCGCCATCGTCGGCGGCCAGCACCACCAGGCGGCGCTGCTGGCGCGCGACCTGGCGCGCCTGCGCATCAACTGCTGCGTGACGCGTCAGAAGCCGCGCGCGCCGCCCGGCCCCGCCGCCATCACGTACGTGGCGCTGCTTGCCGGCGAATGGCGCTCGCGCCACGTGCGCCCGCCCAAAATAATGGTCTCGGGCAGCCAGCATGGTTCAACAAACTGTTGACGTCTCTTACATACGAGATCCCAACGGATGCCGCGAGATTACATTGTTGCCTGCAACGTCCTCCTTCCAGCTCGAAAACGATTATTGATAAAATTAAAATATAAAATCTCGTAATATTATCAACTATTAAAATTATAAAAGGAAAATAATAAGGCAAACAATTTTTTTTTTTCACTAAAATAATCGTATCGCGATACTCTTGCCGCCCCCTCTTTGCACCTAATCGGATATGATTTTCCGAGTCCCTGTGAATAACTAGGATTATATATGTTGCCTGTGATAAATCACACCCTGAAATCTTACTTAAAAACTGCATTTTGCCGCCTCATGATCTTGAAAGACGAATGGAGAAGACTCTAGATATTAACGAAAGTTTCGTCATCTTTAATCGTGAAATTGCCTTCTTAATTTTTTTTCCTTAGACAAATAAAGTATTTTTCTTATTTTCTGCCATTGCGTTCCAGGGTGGACATGTACGTGGAGGACAAAGTGTCCCACCAGGGGCCCATCCCTCTACAGGTGACTCCAGGCATGACGGTCGCAGAGCTCAAGCAGAAGGTGGAGCAGCAGTTCGAGATTCCCGTTGCGGTGCAGCGATGGATACTTGGCAAAATGTTGGCGTCAGATGACAACAAAACTCTAGAGGAACACAACGTCAGCACAAATGGCTGCCCAATGTTTCTTTACCTAGTCGCTCCAGGTAATCGATGTTTTTAAGTAATGAAGGTATAATTGGGTCTCCTCGATTTCGCTTTTTTATTTTGAAATATTTGTTTTTTTTTAAATTTATTTTTATGTATCAATCTCATTGTGAGTTTACAGAACTTGTTTTGAACTAAAATATTTGTTTCATTCTCATTGTGAGTTTACAGCATTTGTTTTGAACTACAATTTTTGTTTACTTTCAATTTGAAAGAGAGACTCGCCTATTTGTATACCCTTATACACATGTTCACTCTCGAACACACACTCAGAACTTGGTAATTTAGACATTTAGCTTTGATTTTTTTTTTAATTCTTAGCTTGGAATAAAAAACAGTAATTGATTTGGGTGGTGCGGCCGCCCCTAGATCTCCCTTAGATCCGCCACTGCGCAGACCACAAATACTCACACACATACTCAGATATACAGAAATACCCACTATTGCACGCACCCACGTGTACTCATACAAATAAGTTGTGGGGTTTTTGTCTTCATGTTATAGAATGATCTTTGTATTCTTGAAAAGACTAAGTTTGGGACTAACACATCAGCCCCATTCGTGGCGTATTCTAGAAGGCGAGCAGGAGAGCGATGCGGTGACTGCCGCCCCTGCGGAGCCTGAGCTCCCCGAAGAGCAGGTCGCCCCTGCTTCTCCGGCCGCGCAGCCGCCGCCGCCGCCGCCGCCGCCAGAGAAGGGCGGCGGGTGGTACTACAACCACGAGGACGACCGCTACAGCTTCTGCGAAGACACGGAGTCCGAGATGGCCACGGACGACGAGGGGGATGACGAAAGGAGGTGCGTTTGCGTAGTGCGGGAGAGGTCTCCGCGTTAATCACGCTCTATTTATTCAATCTTGAAGACACCGGTACGGGCACCAATCAGACCCCAGTGTTGAGCTACTCCCCCCTCCCCCCATCGGCAACTTTTTCCACTCTCACACTTTGGCCGTGAGGGTTTTCCGGGTCTTAACTTCTCTTCGCGGCACGCCCTTGTGACCCCTGTGGTATTAACTTCGGCAGGGTCGAGATCCCTCCCTGCTTCGGCTTGCCTATGGGAGAGGATGATATTCTTATATAATGGGAGTCACCTAATATGAAAATATATTACGCATATTATGTATTATAATTATATAATAATATTCCTATAAACAAATATTATAATAATATATTTTACATAATATAATAATACAATATAAAATTATATGAATATATTCTAAATATTAGGTCCATTTTGCTTATGTTATAGTATCGAATATCACTTTTATTTTGTAAGATTGTGGGAATATGAGCACAAGCGCCTGCCTACCCGTCCGCGAAGAGGTTAGGGGCATTTTTGAAATTTGTGTTTCACTATGACCAGGAGAAAGCATAATGCAAGGAGAAAGAATAATGGAAGATAGTAATTCAATAAGCAGTTCTCTTACTATCTGATATTTGTATATTATGTTTGCTTCTGAACCTCCATTAAAAGGGTAAAAATGTTTATTTTTCCAGTGACACTAGCCCAGCAAAATTACCTCTACACCAACAGAAAGGAATGCCTCAAGTCCCTCTGCTAAATGCTCTAAATGAGCCAGAGCTAGAAGTTAGGAAAGGAAAGGATGATGAAAGAGAGAATGAGGAGGAGGAGGAAGACGAGGATGAAGAGGAAGAGGAGGAGGAAGAACAAGGGGAACTTGGGGAGAGACCAGTCTTAGTACAGCCATCGGCAGTAATTATCCATGACAGACCTGTGGTAATTGAGGCACCTGCTGCTACTGCAATCCAAAAGGATGTTACACCAGCAAATGTAGCTGTAGCTGGAGGTTCTGCCAACCATGCTGACATTGGCACAATGAAGCTGGGTAAGCAAGTATTTCTCTTCCATGTGTCTTTCCTACTTTCAACTATCCCACTATCTCATTCTAATTTCCTATCTTTTTCATAAATGTTTCCTTTCGTGAATTTGTTTCCATCTTGACCTTCGTCATGACTTAGTTAAATACTGTAGTTCATATAGCTTCAGAAATCAAATTTAAATTATCAGATAATTTAAAGGAACAAAATGAAGTGACAATATAATTTCAAACATATGATTTTTTTTAAATTTTAAGAAATGAACTCTTCACATATGTTTTGTAGAACCATTCCACTTGCTTCAGCACATTATCTCGTAGGTTAAGGTGTCTCTAATCAAAGTCTCTTAAATGATTGTTGTGTTAAACCTATCAAATACTAACCACTGATGTGACTATACTGTGACAAATACTATCCACTATCATACACCTGCATAGGTATCTCCCTAATCCTATACTCAAATATTATTTTTTCACCTATTTTCTGATTATATTTATTTCTTACATAGAATTCAATACACGCACATAACGTATCTTAAACATTGATCACATGTGACGAATTTACAAAATCCTCTTTAAGAAATTCGTGCCTTGCAGGTTGGAAATGCCCTGTCTGCACTCTTATGAATTCCCCCACAAGGCCTGGTTGTGCAGCTTGCACGACAGAGAGACCTCTGAAATACGTTGTACCTGTGGAGTACAGGGCCAACGTCCATGAGATGGAACGCATTCGCAAGGAGGCTCAGGGAGATCAAGAACTGCTGGAGGTGAGATTATCGCGGCCTGGAAAGAGAGAGGGCTTATGTGGCATTGAGATTTAATTTCTGGTGTCACTGCACTCTTTCTCAGCTGATTGCTTTCTAAGAAGGGTGAAAGTTTTTTGAAAATGAAGTTTCCTCTGCTTGATGTTTCTCTGGACTATAAAAATGCCTGAAATATGTGCACTGAAAAGGTTGCAAAGTATAAAATTACTTTCCTGTATCTTACAAATCATATATTCATAGTACGTAAAGAGAAATGTATGTAATTCTGCGAAAAAAGATCAATTATATAATTTCTCTCTCTTTG